AGAAGGAAGAACAGTAACATGATGGTTCACAAACACATAAAAGTGGTGCACACTACCTGTTAAGTACACACCGCCTGATATGTACACACTGCCTGCTATGTGCACACCGCCTGTTATGTGCATACTGGCTGCTATGCGCATACCACTTGTTATATGCACACTGTCTGCTATGTTAACACCGCCTGGAGAAGTGTAAATAACCCTAACATAGAACACTATTTATAAACCATATCAAGTACGATGGAGATGGTAAAACAACAAAAAGAAGAGATATAGGAAATGCAAAAAGTGAAATCAATTGGTGACTATTAGAAAAGGTAATGAAAGATTTAAAATGAACAAATTTATATTTCCCCATCTGGCACATTTCTTTGATGTATGCAAGCATGTAGAAAGCAGGCTCTTCCCTCAGATGCTGGTTAGCCTGTGAACCTGGATGACACTGTGGGGGCAATCAACAGCCTCTGACTGCAAGAGTGTCACCATAAGGTCTGAGACCATGGACATCTCTCATCTAACGCGTGGATTTTTACACTACTTGAAATTCTTATAGACTGCACTACTAGAAAAGAAGTTTTAGACAAGTATAAAAAAAAAGAATATAATTTAGAAGAAAAAAAATCATGAAGTCAGAGGAGGTGCCAGGTTCATACCAAAAGGACAAACACAGAAAACAATACAAGAAGCTGGACACAACAGAGCAACTAAGCAAGGGGTGGAGAGGCGGGTCTGCAGCAATGGGGTAAGGGTCCATGAACCTGCAGGTGAGGGAGAATGATCAATGTATTCTGAAGTAAGTGATGTCCTCAGAGAGGACTTACAGCCAGGCTGAGCCCCGTTTACTAGTTCCGAGGGCTGCTCTGACACCGAGCACTGCTCTGTGAATGACATTCTTCAACCAGCCAGGATACGGTGCAAGGTTAGATCTGACCTCTGCTCCTCTGGCTCTCGACTGTACTGTATCCACAGCTACCAGCAAATAGAGTATTTCTTGAAAGATACTATATAATAGCATATATTGGCTTGGAATAAAATAAATATTAGTAATACTTCTATCACACACATATACACACACAAATTCTAAAATTGGTGTTGAAAGGATAGCTTAGCAGTAATAGCACTGGCTGCTCTTCCAGAGGACCCAGAGTCAATTTCCAGAATCCACATGGCAGCTCCTAACTGTGTAACTCCAGTCCCAGGGAATCCAATGTCCTCTTCTGGCCTATGCAGAAAAAAGTCCCACAATACCCATACAAATAAATGATTAAAGGAAAACCACCCATATTGTAAGTTCACTTAGTTGCTTTATACTGTGAACTAAAAAGTATTCTAATCATACTACAAAATTGATGTCAACTAGGTCGAGCCCAGACAGATGAATAGGGTTCATGGAGAACTATAGACCAGTCTGAAATGAAAACCAACTTCTCTGTTTCATTTCTTAGAAAGTTGTGCAATCTAACAGAACACCAAAAAAAGGACAGCTTTGACACCAAGCATTAATACCTCACATTTGTGGAAGTACAGGAGCAAAGACCAACATGGCTAGGTTCTACTGAGGGCTTTTCCAGAGCCATTACAAGGGCCCCACTCTCTGGACTCCATTTCCAGCTATCTCCTGTAGACTTCACCTCCATGCTTCTTAGGCCTGAGTCCTTTATATGGCCAACTGGTGCCAACTGCACATCCATTCTGGACTTCACTCACTCAGGGCTTCCTCTGCTCCCCACAGGAACAGAAGTAGTCAGTGAATACATCAACAAGATTCTACTCAGTTTTCAAGAAAGTAACAGAGATATGGTAGGAAAGAGAAGATCAACTTTAGCCACAGGTTGGAAAAATTCCATCTGAAGTGACTTCAAAATCAGTATGACTTAAATAATGAGGCTCTGGCAGTGATCCACGGTACCCACAGAGCTTGAGTTCTCTTAGATATGATGAGGTGCACAGCCTCCTCAGCACTGAAGGTGTTGGCAGGCAGAGCATCTCAAATCCAATATGGACACAGCAATATCCCTTCAACTATCTCCATGTCGCAGTGTGCACAACAGAGAAAAGTCTGCAAGTTAAAACCCTTCAAATGAGCACAATGTAAACACCTACCTCTTTCCCAAAGTCTTCTCAGATACCCAGCTTGTGTGGGACTTTCTCACCGTGCTGTGCTATTTGACAATAAACAAACTTATCTTTTCTTCTGTGTTTTATATGAAACTCTCTAATTGCGGGGCAAGGACTCTGTGGTGTAGCCACTATAGAGAGTGTACAGAGTTTATGAGACTTTGCCCCGGACTCGTCCCTTCATTTGCCGCTGAGGTCTGTGGCTTGGTTCTAGAATGGCTGAGGTCAGAGTCCAACCTCAGATAAGTGGAGAAGCAGAGCAAAGGCATCCCTGGAGACTGTAAACTGGTGTTTTTCAAAAATAACAGGTTCCTTTACCACTGGGTGAGAGTAAGGTTTAGCCAGATTACAAGTCCGTGTTTTCCTCTTGTGGCGATGTTGCTAAACACAACAAAAAAACAACCTATCACGAACACTTTCAAAAGAGATTTGCTAATTACAAAAGCCTGTACGCCTGATGCTTTTCCGTGAGATGCAACAGAGTGGGTGAGGGTGACAACAGGTTACATGAACATCCTTGGAGCAAACACCTTGGCTCTGGACATGAAAACTGTATTTTACTGACTCATATATTATGAGGACAACTTGAAAGTTCTATGTATAAAGCGAAGATCCAATTCCATCAGTGAGAACAATGCTGTCAGTTTTAGATACATTTGTGTACAAGCCTTTACAGCCCAGCACCAATCCTCAGAGATCCTGAGTTATTGGGCCACAAAGTACCTGCAGCCAGCACTGAGATTTAAATGACCAAAAACTGTACGCCTACAAGAATATACAGTAGAAATGGATGTTTGCCAGAGACTTCATACAGAATCACAGGAGAATGTAGAGACCTCACTGTAAGACAGACTCTAACTGGAACATTAATTTTATCTTATAGAAACCTTGCTCTCTAACATGTTTGATGCACTTAAGATGCCGGGCTGGCTTTAATGTGGGGCGCCTGCTCTTTCGTGTGTCTCCACCTACAGCCCCCCACGCCCCAGGCTCTCTGGAAACTTTGCCCTGCAGCAGTGGTAAAAAGCCTCAACTTTCTACCCCTGAATGTTTTTTATGCCTTCAGAGACAGTACCACCTGGCCCAGTATGGATCATACCTCAAAGTGTGACCACAGCAGAGTCAGGCCAAGAAATCAAGGGTCTGACACTTGGCAATTATTACCGTGGCAATACTGAGAATAACCCCCACTCCTAAAGAAGCTTTACATGGTTTTGTGAGGTCAGGAAGAGAACACAGGTAGTGACCTAAGGCTATACAAATCCAATTATATACATAAACTTAAAGCCTTTGAAACACTTCATTTTCCCGTAACTGGGTGTGTTCTTTAAAATGCATATTTAGTTCTTAAACAGAAAATATTCAGGCTCCTGTAAAGCAGGAAGCACCTTTACAGAAAAATGAATGGGGAAGAACTGGAATGTCTAATGATAGGAGAGAGCAAGCACCGCCCACTTCATGTTCACGGGAAAATTGGTCACCATCAGGGAAGGGTCACAGCAAACAAGCTTGGTCTTTTAAGACTAAGGCCGAGAGGCCCTGAGCTGGCCATGACGGCTGACAGCTACTAGAAATGAACCCTTAGTAATTGGCTTTGTATGTCAAAAATGTCTGAACAAAACACTGTGACATGCCACTACCAAACTGCCTCCGCCACTGCTGTAGGAGGCACAGAAGGAAAGACCCTGGGAGCCACACTGGAAAGGGAAGGAAGGCAGACTCCACTGTAGTCGCTACCCCACCCCCATCCCCAACCCCGCTCAGTCTGCACACACTGGACAGGGCAGGAAAGGGGAGGTGTCCCCACTGTTCCCCGGCTCTCACAACTCTCTAAGTGTCCGTGTACCACAGGATTTTCACACTTCTCCTAACCTGGTAATGAGAATGTATCGCAAAAATAAAACTCTGCAATACTTCTTTTTAAACAGTCAGCCAAAGCTTTACA